TGTGTGTGTGTGTGTGTGTGTGTGTGTGTGTGTGTGTGTGTGTGTGTGTAGAGATGGCTCAGCAGTTAAGAGCACTGGCTGCTCTTCCTGAGGACCCAGGTTCAATTCCCAGGACCCACATGGCAGCTCACTACTGAATACTAATGGACATGAACTAAAAATTATAAAGAAGAAAGAAAGACAACGACGCCCAGGAGTCCAGCTTCAGACCCACACGTCCCTTGCGGATATTTTCAATGGTCTTTAGTGTGCTGGGTGTCAGTGGAGAAGATAATTACATTCTTGTTAGCAAAGGTGGAGGCAGAGAAGCCAGCTTTCTGCGCTGTGGCCAGCCTCCTGATGACTCACTTACCACTCTAGTAACTCTTATTTTGCTACAGAAGAAAACAGCTCTCTCTTCGTCCAATGGGTGTTGGAAGGTTCTACTAAGTAAAAGTGAATTTCACTCAATGTAAATCTTCTCAAGATAAAAACAGGCAAGAAGCCTCTTCCCTTAGGAGTCAGCTCACCTCTGCCCACCTTGGAAGAAGCTGGACCACTTCCTATGTCCCTGGCAAAAGCCCCAGAGAGTGGGACCGGGTGACCTAACAGGCTCTCTCCTCATTACAAAAATGACTTGTCATTTCGTTTTATAAGTGTCCATAATTTCACTGATACTAGTGTATAAAAGGAGCTTCAAATTTCGTTCTAGCATGAACTACAGTTGTAAGCCAGGCACTCCAGCAGTCTGCCTTAGCATGAGCTCACATCATCACACCGTACCTGCTGCCACCAGGAGCGGCACATTTCCGCTGTTTCTCTAAGTCCCTAACTACGTAAGCACCCTTAACAGGTCCCTGTGGACATCACGGTGAATGCTCTCCCTCCCTCTCTCTCCCCCTCCCTTCCTCCCTTCTTCTCTCTCTCATTCTCTGCCTCCCAGTCTGTCTGGTGTCCTCACTCTGAGACCATCTTTTGCTACCCCTTGCCGCCCAATAAGCCTCGTGCATTAGGTCTGTGGCATGATGTGGCCTCTTAGTGGCACACCTGAACTGCAAGGTCCCTTTGCCACTTTGTCCCAACAACAATGATATGGTAATGGATTTCTTTAGGCTTATTTTTAATTTCCTCTTATTAGTTATCAAAATGATTATTCTCAATTTTAATTTTTATATTCATTTATTTTTCATTTATTCATCTAGTGTGTATGTTTGTGTGTGTTAAGATGGGCAGGCTTACCATGAAATAGATGTGAAGATCAGAGACCTAATTAGCATCAAACATATAATCCCCCTGCCTCAGCACCTTGAGAACTATGATTATAGGTGTTTGCTGCCAGGTTAGTATAACCCGCTAGATTTTTATCTATCTATCTATCTATCTATCTATCTATCTATCTATCTATCTATCTATCTATTGAGACAGGGTTTCTCTGTATACCTTGGCTGTCCTGGACTCCCTTTGTAGACCAGGCTGGCCTCCAACTCACAGAGATCTGCCTTCCTCTGCCTCCTGAGTGCTGAGATTAAAGGTGTGCACTACTGTGCCCAGCTCACTAGATTTTTAAATAATTAAAGTCAATTGAATTTTCAAGAGGTGCGTCCTCCTCTTTTAGGTACCAAGAAGATGAACTACCAGACTTTCATCCCTAATGTTCATGCTCACAGCTAGAAAACAAACACAGCCTGATCATGCCTGGTCTGCAATGTGTGGGGCCGGAACCATTTGGAATATGTGCATAGACATTCCTAGCTGAACATGAGTCATCCGGAAACTTGAAGTCCAAAGTGCTTTACAGTCTGAAATCCACAAGCACTTTCAGGTTAGTAGTGTTCAGCATTATCATGTGACAAAAGCCTGGCTTTGCATGCCTGTAACGCCACTGTTGTGGGCAGGGGGCAGGGGAGGAGAAAAGAAGGTGGATACCGGGACCCAGCTAGAGAGAGAGAGAGAGAAAGAAAGAAAGACAAGAGCAACTGGGGAGTAATGACAGAAGATGACCCCCAGTGCACTCCTCTGCCTACATTCATATGTGCATTTGAGCACAACACATGCACACACACACACACACACACACACACACACACACAAACACACACACACACTTCCTCATCAGAATTTTCTGTGGGAGACAGATCTTAAGTTCCAGAGAATCAGACTGTGGGCTGAAGCTCTTGGTTGAAGATCTGTTGTCTGCTGGCATCTAAGATATGTGGGCATGTGAGGTCCTTCCTCTTCCTCTTTCTTCTCATCCTGCTCCTTCCCTCTCCAACCTCTTCTCACTTCTTTCCTGTGTTTTTTTTCTCTGCGGGAATTGAACTCGGGGCCTCAGACACACTAAGCTTGGTACTATCACTGGGCCTCACCCTTACAGCTCAGGCAGCAAATTTAAATTCTGTGGAAAACAAAAATCTCCGTCTGTTTAGTATTCACATGATGGGTGGCTTTCTGTGTCCTTCTGGGCAGAAAAGTTCAGTTTTGCTCATGATTTTACATCTGCCACTGACATCATGAGAGTTTCTTAAGCTTTCTTCTGACATCCCATCAGTTCGCTGTGTTTTGGCCACTCCGAGAGTGTCAGTTAAAAGCAGAGGGAACTTTTTTTTTTTTAACCCCCAGGGAAGCTGACCCTTCTGTGCTGCGGAAGGAAGCAGCTGGTACGCACCTTTGTGTGACTGACCCGCCAGTCTGGAAGTGTGGGGCGCTTTTGACTAGTGTTCCTCATAGCTCATACACGATATTTCCTGCACTGTGTGCGTTCAGAATCTGAGACATGCACTGTGGTTCCTGTGCAGCCAGCCTCTTGCTACTCCACTGATGGGGATCAACATCTCCAACCTTGCCTCACCCCTGAGCTCGGGAGCCCAGACCTGTCATACCAAAGATCTTATTGGCTCATGGACATCTAAGAAGGAGCAGCAAGCCATGACAGCAACAAACCCCAAAGCAAGTAGAAAGAAGTCCTCCACACCCAGTTTGCCCACTGCCAAAAAGCCCTGGTGGGGTGGGGAGAGCAATGCTTTCCCGCCTTCTTTCCAGCAATCGCCAAACAGGAGGAGCCAGAAGCGTAGCTACCTCGTTGCTAACTCCACCCTCTGCACGGCTCTCTAGCCAGACCTCGTTTTCAACGATTGCTTAGCGAGTCTTTAACACGTAACTCCTTACCCTAGATAAACCCTGTCCCTTCAGAAGCCCTTGTCCCATTCAGTCTAGCTCCTTTGATGGGCTAGCATTAACTGACATCATCATTAGTGGACAATCACCATCAACACTGGAACGCACTCGGACCATTGTGCATCCTATAGGGTTTGACAAACAGATAATGACAAATGTGCCCCACAATATGGCCGCAGTCAGAATAACAGCTTCATTGTCCTAAAAAAATCTGCTGAGTATCACTTGTTCAAACCATGCCTCCTTCCAAGCCCTGGCTTCTCTTGGTCCTCTGCCTGACAAACTGTCATGAGCTACCACCTTCATCTTCTGGTGTTAAGATAAAGCACTTCCTGCTGGGGAAAACAGCTAGAGTGTGTGTGTCACTGATAAGAAAAAGGAAAACAGTCCCCTGCCATGATGGCAGAATGACCATATAGGATTTACATCTAAGCTAGACTAACCATATGTCACCAAGCCACGACCCTCTGCTGTGACCCTGAACAGGGTATAAAATGTGGAGGGCTACCTCCTCACATCACTGGAACTGGAGCTGGGGACAGGACAACTTCTGGAGACATCTGGGTGGCATGGATGGCTTTGGGAGCATCTGGCACCTGAGGATTCTAAAGGAGAAGATCAAATCCTTATTTCCTGGCAATCTCTGTCTTCATTTCCCAAGCTGACGCAGTACTCCAGGTGAAATCTAGTGTGAGCAGGTTGTGCCTGCCCTTCTCTGGGTGTATGAATTATTCCATCAAATATCTGCATCTGGGGAGAGTGATGCTCAGTGCATCTGAGGCCCAGCTCTGTTAGAAAAGCCATTCCCAAAGCAAGTCTCCCTGGGGACTATCTGCTTTCTCTATACTGATGGGCTCATTCACTCCATCTTTGCTTTTCCTTAAAGCAAGGGTGCTGCGCAGGTCATGCCATACTTATAAAGCCCCTAGAGGGCAGGGACACGGAGATCAAGGAGTCTCCACTGGATTTCTCAGCAGTAGGCTGGGCTCTGTATTATTTTTTTCTACTTCCTCTTACCCAGGATTCATCCAAAGGGGAGAGTGAAATGATGTTCTCTCTCTATGAGCCCTGCCCTTTGCACTTCTTTCCAACAAGACTTTGTCCTCTATTATTGTATACACACATCTTTAACATGTAAATCACTTCTTTACACTAACCCCAGGTGCCTCCTGTCCTTGCCCCACAAATTCTGCTGTGTCCTGTCCCCGCGGCTGAAGCGTGGCTGGTTCTTTGGAGGGTTTCACAATTTAGTGGCTTCTAGTTTACTTACACCGTTTTATGATTCATTTAACTAAATTAAATTTTATTTTATTATTTTATATGTATGGGCATTTTACCTGCATGTGTATCTGTGAATCACTGTATGCAGCGCCCAAGGAAGTCAGGAGAGGGGGCTAATCTCTTAGAACTAGACTTACAGACTTTTGTGAGCCAACAGTTGGGCACTGGGATTGGAACCTGGTCCTCTGAAGGAGCAGTCGGTGCTCTTAAGTGCCGAGCCACCTCTCCAGGCCCATTCTGTGTTTTAATGGAGACTGGGAAAAGACAACTGCCAGCCCCATGTGGACGGAGGGAAACTGGCATTGTCCTAACAGTTAGCTTCTTCGTGTCTTAGTGCAGAGGGTTGCTTGTATGAAGAGGAGAGAGCGAAGAGTGGCAGGACTTAGCGCCATGCCTGGCACCTGTCAGCGCCATAATGAGCCTTTGCTTTAACATGCTAAATACCTACCCCAACTACAGATGAACTTATT